AACACCATGAATAAGAAGAGACAACAGTGGAAGACACGCGAGCTGGGGTGCATAGCAACCTCCATACTGACGATAGATCGTAGAAGCATTCCTGGAATCAGCTGAGTGTTCATGTGTACTAAAATGCGTTCTTCAGACCTCAAACAATCAAGCTTTTCAGGCCAATATTACATGAAAACTATAGGTTACATTCGTGCCGAATTGAATATATCTTATGATAGTTCTTTCGGCCAATTCAAAAGGGAAAGCATGATCATCGGATCTTTAATTTTCAAAGGAAAATCTTGGCTTTTAGTTTAAAGCAGGAACTTGTTAAAACTTTAGCCTTCAGTGTCATACTTGTAATTATCAGTAGAGGACATTGATCTATTAGATTCTAGATTCGAAACTAAGGATATGTAGAGAAAATACTTTTGCGATTGTCGAATAACGACTTTATTTTCTTTTTTAGGAAAAAGAGACACAGGATATCCATCAAATGAGTATTAGATTAGAAGTCACTGTTCACATCAAAGACATTAGTATAGCCCACTTAATAGACTTGAATAATCATTACGAACTTGAGCGAAATTGTCTAGTAAGTTCTTGAATATTGAAATTATCACGCACTTCGATCACAGCTACGTTAAGAAGCTTTTTATGCCCACCTCATATACCAAAGGGTAAGAACTAACCATTTCGAGCTTTTTGGTAAAAATTGAAGGTATATCGAGCGAGACCTTGCACCATCACCGTCAGAAACGCGAAGGCAATACCAAGAGAGCAATCTACAAGCTATTTGTGAACCAAGCAAGCTGAGTAAAATGATTATGCCTGCGCTATATCAAGTATCGACGTGAATATAGATGACGGTAGTGGCACGTCGCACATAGAACAGGGCGGCCTGTTTGCCGACGTTTGTAAATTAATGTGAATGAAACCTCATGATACCCGTTGACTGACTTTGAAAGTCAGATCGTCATCTTAGGGAACTGAGATAGATCATAAAGCGGGTATAAACCGTGAGTATCACGATAGTTGGTAAGTTCGGTATCAATATGCTTTGATACATGGTAATGATGCAGACCACGAAATGGCTTCAAAGACAGTCGAACTATCACATTTCACTAACAATCAAGATGGCAAACGCGGTCAAAATATAAAAATTTCCTTTTTCGTGTATGGATGGAACTTGAACTATGTGATACACAAATTGAAACCCTATTCGCCAACCCGCCCCTTTATCTCAAGACTCAAGGAAACCGCTAACCCGATGCTAAGGTAGTCTACCCAATGATTGTGCCGTACTGCAGATATTCTTCATAAGCCATTTAGACACCAGAGTCCTCCTGCTCGATGGAGTACTCCTCCTGGAAGGTGGTCCAGGTGTCGCAAGTATCGGTGAGGGTAGAGTTATCAGTGATGGCAGCAATCTCGCTGTAGCGCTCGACAAACTGCATCGAGAAACCCTCGGACGTGTGCCAGCCAATGTGGCAGTGCATGAGCCAGGCGCCCGGGTTGTCAGTCTCCCAGGCCATAACGAGGTATCCAGAGGAGGGAAGCATAGCGGTATCGCGACGGGGCGGGTTGCTAGTGTTGAGAGTGATGGAGCTGGAGTAGGTTCCGGAGCCCTGTGCAAGGATGAAGAAGTCGTGGCCGTGGAGATGGATGGGGTGGGGGACGGCGAGGGTGGTCTCGATGACAAAGTAGACCCACTGGTTGGCCTCGTCGAGCTGGATGACGGCGTCGTCGTCCTCCCAGGTGGTGTTACCGTTGATAACGGACTCGAGGGTCGGGTTGGCCCAGTCGACGAGCATGGAAGTGCTGTTGAGGTACCACTTGAAGAGGCCGGCGGTGTTCTTGCTGACGGAGGCGCTCTCGAGCTCATCCCAGTTGGCGCTGTCAACCGTCTTGGAGACGTAGGGGGAGATGTTGTCCGTCTCGTCGTCGCAAGAGTCGGTGTAGGAGTAGGCGCTGGTGGTGGGGGTGGTGATGGTGCCGGTGTAGGAGATGATACCCTTGATGTTGTCTGTGCTGTCGTTGTCGGAGCAGGCGGACTGGGGAATGGCGCGGATCCAGAAGTTGTCGGCGACGTCGGCCTGGTCTGCAGTGACAATGATGTCGTAGCGCTGGCCCATGCCGATGTCGAGGACGGTGGCGTTGTAGGGGGTGATGGGAACCAGGTCGGAAGCGATGACCTCCATGGTGTGGTTGTCAATCATGAACTTCCAGTGGGTGTCGACGGCGGCGTTGACAAGTCTCAGACGGTAGGAGGTGCCGGAGGTCCAGGTGACGTTGTAGCGGTAGCCGGTCTGTGTGGTGGAGTCGTCGTCGCCGTAGACGTTGGTACCGTTGATGAGACCGTTGTCGAGCGTCGGCGGGCCGGAGGTCTCGGCAGTGGAGTAGAGCTCGTCGACGGTCTGGTGATCCCAGTCGTTGAGGAACATCATGCCGAGGTCCTCATCGTAGTTGGCAGTGGCGGGGCCGTTGATGATGATGCCGCCAAAGATACCCTGCCACGCCTGAAGAGCGAAGTGGGAGTGGTACCAGGTAGAACCGTACTGCAGAGCTCTCCAGGTGTAGGTGATGGTGTCGTTGGGGGCCGTGGGGCACTGAGTGATGGAGCTGACGCCGTCGTTCTGGTTGGTGTAGTTCTGGCGAATGCCGTGGAAGTGAATGCTGGTGCCGTTGTTGGAGGTCGTCAGAGAGTTGGTGACGTGAACGACGACGGTGTCACCCCAGTCGGCGAAAATGGTCGGGCCCGGAATGGAGCCGTTGACGGCCATGGCGGAGCGGGAGACACCATCGGGAGCGACGGTGACGTCGGTCAACTCAAGGTAGTACTCGCGGGTGACACCGGTGTCGGGCGCCTCGGTCCAGTAGTCGGTGTCGACGGAGTAGTCGCACCACTCGCTTCTTGTGCTTGCAGTGTTGCCGCTGCAGGTAGCACGAGGGAAGAGCTGGGCCTCGGGGCCATCAGAGAGGGCGCCGAATCCGGGCAAGGCAGAGGCCATGGAACCCGCAAGGGCACCGGCCATGAAGAGAGACTTGAACATGATGATGTAGTGATTGTGTGTGCCAAGAGAAGGTTAAAAGAAAGACTGTATGACACAAGTTGGAAGGACTGAAGAGGGAGTGAGGGAGGAAAGACGAAAGCGAATGGAAGCGCAGCCAATACTGTGCTGGGTGAGGAGTGAGTGAGAATAGCATCAAACAAGCAACGGATGTCTATCGCTTAAGTATTCTTGTGAGCCCGCAACGCAATGTCGGCTTCACGGGCGGCTCACGGGAAGCGCGATAGTCAACGGATGCTAAAAACTCTATTTCCCCGTTGAACTTGGGTGTGTTTACCCTGCAGGTGTTTCCTCATTCGGTCCACAATGACAGAAGTCGTCAATCGGTCCTGTTTCCTTTGGAGCCGCTTGAACCGAATCTGACGATACCATGGGCATCCCGAAGCTATCCACTGGCACCACAGCTCGCACTTGCCCCAGTAGGTTAAAGATCGTCAATGCAAAGGCTAGTCCGGCTCGAGATTCAGCGAAGGAAAAACATTCTGGATGCAGATGATTTCACGATAATTCCCATGTCGATGAAGGCCCGAAGGGGTTAACCTGAGACTGACCCCTTTGAGATCCATGCGCGGGCTGTACGGGGGTCGTAAGGTGGTACGTGGAAGACGAACCGCAGTTGGGCTGACTCGCAAGCAGCTGAGTCTTATTTCCTCTATGCGAGGCATAGGTCAGGGGAAGCTGGGGTTGGTAGGGTGTTGTGCTCCACTGCAGCCTCGCAAGGCACGGCAACTCAACTTGTCGACAGGCGTGATGGGTTTATCAAGTGGATGTGAAGGGGAGACGATCAAGGGCCGGTGTGCCGACGGTAGAACCGTCAGACTTGGGTGGCCGGTCTGCCCGACTTGTCGGGAGGGTGGGAGGCACTCCGGAGAGCCAAGCCGGCCGATGAGCCCCACCAGATCACTCCTGATTTAGAAACTTCCGGCTCCGCTTTGCGGAAGGGGAATGTCTGTGCGGCATAGCTTGAGCCTCGCGGGTGGCCGTCTGCGAAGACTATCAATCTATGTAGGTGGCCTTGAGTGGGTTCGTTACACTGCATGCTGGGAGAGGAGGAGTTCGTGGTCCCTTGCGCAGCCTCCTCTCCTTACGCGGTCCCATGGCGACACCATCCCCCTTTTGTGACGATGATGGATGAGATGTGATGGGCCAGACCTATAGCATCCCTGCTATATATCAAGCTCACCCCGGGAATCAGTATCCACAGATCCCGGGCCCTATCACGGGCCCCTGTTCATCCCACATACCGAAACGAGAACTCTGAAAACCCCCGTTGACAGGCGCCCCTCCCGGGATGGCCCTAGCCGCAAGTAAACGACAACGGCGCTCCCGCTGGATCTGAATGGCCAATGGCCGTTTCCGTCCAATCTCGCGGCAAAAGCTTGACTGGATGCCGAACGGCAATGACCGATGCGTCAAGGAGGTTGTGATGGTCTCAACTACACTATCTGTGGTTGACGGGGTTGATTGTGCCTCCACTGTGATCAACACGGTGGAGTCCGAGCCTCAAGAGTCAACGCGCCTATTCCGCATCCGCGCAGTGATTTGTTGGTTACAACCTGGTTTGGGAAACCAAAGTTTACCTTGCAACCATGGCCAACAGGAACCGTCTTCGGGCCTTTGCTACCTGACTTGGATGAGTTGTGGTGCCGCGGTGGCGTAGCCCGAAAATTTGCACGTAGAGTTACAAGTCATGACATGCCGGCCAGGGCGGCTTGAGGCGGATCATCCGAACGGCATCGACTAACCGCACTTTTATTTAACCAACTCCATCCCCTCTCCAGCTTCACTTCCCCGGCCCCCCCCACCACTCCGGTTCCTTTCACCACGATCACTCTCATTCAGTCCATCGTTATCCCCCATCGAGTCTCCTTACAGTCTCATCCAGTCGTTTACTCCATCACAACTCCTTTCTTTTCGAGACACAACTCACCAACCCCATACGCAAAAATGCAGTCCTTCGGCACTATCCTGTTGTCGTTCGCCGCTCTTGCGGTTGCGGCTCCTTCGGAACCCCGCGCTGTCGCCAGCGATAACACCAGCCCTTTCCAGGTCTACGCCTACGGCCAAGGAATCGGCGGCCTGTCCATGTTCTCTGCAGGAGGTAGTAAGGCTGGTTTAAGAACTTTTATCTCAAGAGAATTCGTAAAGTTCTATTAGGAGCTTTACCATCATTCTCTTCCTGTCTCTCTTTTGTTGATAACCCGTCCAGCCCGGGTTGCGAAAACCCCCCTCGAAAAGCTTTAGACTAACACGATTGTGACTAGGCGACGCTTACTTTGGTGATCACACCAAGTTCAACGACTCTAACGCCGCCCCGGTGATCTGTACGTCACCATCTTCCGGTTTAATATCCAACCAGCAACTAATACACTTCATAGTCACCCCCACCGACAACAACGGCTGGATCGGAGCCCCCAACACTACGGCTCTCAACTCTACCTCCCCTCCCAGCTGGTCCAACCTCACCTTCTCCATCCCCGCCGAGGGCTCTTCGGACCATGACGTCGGCTTTCTCAGCTCCAACTCATCCTCTTCCGACCGCCAGACCAGCGGCTTCGTCTTTTACGGTTCCTTCATTTTCGTCGAGTCCTCCTCTGGCGGCATGGAGTCGCTGTGGTATGCTACCCCCAGCTCCATCAACGGCATCTACTCTCTCAAGTGGAACGACACCAGCGACACCACCACTGAAGACAAGATCGTTCTCACTCTCAAGAAGACTGCGCCTTCCAACGCTAGCAAGACCAAGAACCGATCCATTTAGATGGTGACACGCCGGGTCATCTTTGTGTGAACCGATGTAACTTTGGAACATGGCGCGATTTTCTTCTCTCGTAGTGTATTTGGGTTAGAACACTGGAATCAAGATGCATTACGAGTAAGGCTACAAGGGTGTTTAGGAGGATAAGGGACAGCGGATGCACTTAGAACATGCAATAAATTGGGCGTGAATATTTACAATTCGGGCCAAATTACATTTTCCCAAGCTCGTGAGGATTTCATTCATGCTCGTGACATCAAGGTAATGGTACAAAAGTCGCTGACTTATCGACGCTCACTGGCGACCGCTTCAGCCGACACAGGTAATCTCTCTTCCGCGCCGAGAACATTCGATGCATTCTTCGTCTTGCCACGAGCATCGGGCTCCTGGTCAACATCCAACCGCCGCTCTCTGAAGTTGTGCTTGCCAAAAGCTCCAACTCCCTCAAGTCCGGCGCTCTCTTTGTCACGGCGACCAAGGTTAGCCCCGTGCAGCTCGGCGCTAGTTTGGCCCTGTACAGGCTTACCCAGCCCAGTGTGGACGTCCCCGCTCGTGGCACCAGGGAAATCGTGCGCGGCCGTATACGTGGTAGCCTCGGGGTTCAGAGCCTGGCCGGGGATCTCTTGCGCGTTCTGGGGCTGGAAGGTGTTTTCTCTGGGTGCTGTGCCGGCAGGGTATGCTTGGGCGTGGAACTCGGGGTATGCGTCGTTGCCGACTTTGGTGCCAGGGGCGTGCTATTGGTTGGTTAGACAGGGGGAGTGATTACGAATGCTTGGGATTGGGATTGATGAACTTACGCCTTTGGTTGTGAGGGGCTCTGAACGAGGGACGCTGGGGTGGAACTCGCCCTGCTTGTTGTTGATGGACTCAACGTTACGGTTGACTGACATTTTGATTGGACGAAGAGTTACAAGGTATGGATTAAGCTTGTGATTGGTTGAATCGGGAGTTGGCGATGGTTCGTCGGTGACGATTGATCCTACGCCTTGGAATTGTGATTGTGTTGTTAGAATGATCCGAAAAGCTCACACCCTTCATCAGTCATTGTCCGCTTAAGTATTGAATCTGCCGGATCGATATTTCAGTCGAAGTGTTTGTGATGTCATTTTCGGATTACATCAACGCGACGAGGATTGAGATAACAGAGCCACTTTTCTGCGAGATGAGTGAAGTACATGTTTGAAGGGCCGATGGATGATGTAAAGTGACCAGTGCCAAGAGATGACGGCGGAGACGAGATAGTAGCCAAAGGTAAACGCAACTCAGAGTCTCATGCGGGATCCGATGTTGAGTGGGCGAGCATTGGATATCTGGTCGCCACAGAGCCGCTCAAGCGCAATAATGAGATCAACCTTCGGACATTTTCGTCCGGCTTTCTGGGTCGCTAGGTTTCGGTGGGTATGGTCAGGCTCACCGAGTCTCACCGACCACTGTTGGTTTCCACACCAAGATGGATCAACGCAGAATGGAGACGACATGACGTACAATGTAGTCCACTTATCCGCAAATCTGCGACTGATTGCTTGGTCCAAATAGTGGACCAAGCTAATTCGTGAATAGTCGACTGCTCCAGCTCCCCACGCCTTATCAAGAACACAATCTGCGTTACACACGTATGCATCGTTCAGTTCCCACAATGACAACATTTTGAATGTTTCATCGTGATTTGGACTGGCCCATAATCAGCTTTTCATCTTTGCACCAATCTCCCACCAAGTTTCCGCCTCCGAGTCAAAATGTTTTCTCATCTTGCCCCTCTTCGCATTTCAACTGCCAGCCAACACCTTCAACCTCGGGAGAAGGGGACCGTCCCTTGGCCGTTGCTCGTTTCCCAGGATAAGGTCGCGGATACAATCTAGTTGCTTCTGCCTCTCCAAATCACCCGCATCTCTACACCACCCCTCTAGCTTCTTCTTCTGTCTCTCAAACTGCGCCATCGTCGCCATGTCCGTATCAACGTGACACCCTATCGACACGAGCAAAAGTCTCCGCGACCAGTCGTGGATCTCGTCGCGAAGCATCTTGTCCGCTTGCTGCGAGCCTTGTGCGTAGCGACAGTCGGCCAGAACGGCACATGCTTTTCCGAAATGGGACTTTGCATCTTGAATATCTGCGTATTTGGAGTTTGGCGAAGACTCCTGCTCCGAGAGGTACGCCTCAGCGCGGTTGTAGCATTGCTCTGCCATATCGCGCACACTGGTCGCAAGTTCTGCTTCAGACGCGACGAGGACGCAGTAGCCTAGGATGAAGTGTCCAAATTGAACAATCAGCTTCGGGTCATCTGAGTAAGAGCACTGTACGTGTGTGTACCGCTCCAATGCCATATTCAGGATCTTGGGATCCGTCTGTTGTCCATCTTTTGCCTTTTTGGCGTTCAGCACGAAAATCAGGTAAACCATAACTAAGCTCCATCTGCCAAGGACTTTGAGCACGTTGACTTGCAGATCATCGCAAATGCGTTCCATGCAGGCTTTGAATTCTGAGAATAGAGTGTTTGTGAGGAGTTGTTCTACTCTCTGCGCTAATTGGACAAACTCGTGGTCTCTCGGTAGGATGGTCGTCGAGGATGTCACTAGACAGTGCGCCAACTCGTTGATGGCTGCAGTATCCGATGATTGGTTGAATGAGCTTAGAATGCCGATTGGTACCGCGGGGTGAAATGACTTTAGCAGCTCGTTGACATGGTCGTTCATTCTCGACTTGACTGCAACTGATGGATTGTTCACAAGGCAACCTCTCAGATGACTCTCATGCTTAAGCTCTTTCTGAAGCGTGCGGTATATCGCGAGGTGGTCGTCCTTAGGGGTGTAGTCGTCCCACGCCAAAGTCGGCGGCCGCCCTGAGACGAGTTTCGAGAGTATCAACGTCGCTAATGTCACGATTTCTTTGCAAAGCATGTCAGGGGTCATGCTAGCTTCTTTCTGGTTTACTTCAAATGGGGAACTGTATCCATACGTGGCTGGTGTCGGTGGGAGGGTCCCTGGGCGTGGTGTATCGACATAGGTTGTCGAGCGCGCGTCCAAAACTCGATGACCGCCGTGAGGAGACTCTCCTGGCGTTAGTGCCGGCGAGAAAAAACTGGTTGGTTCGATTGGAGAGGTAGGGCTTGAGATATCGCTAGGAGGTGCGGCGGCAGTATTCGACCCCGGGTCAACGTCTCTGGGTAGTGATGCCTCAAAGGGCTTGCGCTTCTTGTTTTTCCCGATACCCCAGGTCTTGAACCGTCCTTTGTACATGCGCTCTCTGGACACATTTTCCTTAGTATTGTACATATATCAAAGCCCCGAAACAACTGAAGATAGTCTTACGTCGCATAGAATCCATGCCTTTTATACAGCTCATCTTTGATGTGCTTGAGGGTTCTGGTAGTATATAATTTGGTAATGAGAGGCCTGTGCTTCTCCCATTGCTCGGCAGTCGGCTGTTCAGGCATTGCGACGGCGGTCAGGGCGACCCGTCCGGACGAACTATCGGCGATGGTAGTCGGCGCACAGTGGCACCGGTCAATGTGACGAGAACTCGGGAGGCGGGGGCAGCGTGGGAGGGGAAAGCGGTATGGCAAAAACATACATGTATGCAAACGGTTTGCGGCACAACGGACATCGGCATGGAACGATTTATGAATTGTGCGATGGGTTTGCATGTTGATGGAGCTTGCCAACGAACTCACTGACAGCTGCAAGTGAGATTCCGTCATGCCGACCAATTGTAGTGAGACAATTTTGCAAGGATCCATGAGTTGCATCACAATTCGACCAGTCACAACAAAGTACTATGCATAATCAATGGGTCTGACTTTCTGACTTAACTGTAAAGGGCTCAACACCATGAGTTTGGTTCCTGGCGAACCAAGTGCGCACCATCTCGCAAGGCGACCTTGGGTGTAAGACACACTGAGGGTGGGCTGTCCAGCTATCTCACAATCTCTGCCTTGACAGTGAGGCAATTTGGTTTGCACTTGAACGCAGGCATGACTGGCCTTGGAGACTTTCATTCGTCCAACATTATGCAATGGTGAACTGGCAAGTTGTGCAGTGGGCAGATAAACCGATTGGGGAGGGATTAGTTGAGCCTCATCATCACGTGCACCCTCGATGATCTCCATCTCTAAACAACTATGAGCGGGTGATGTCTGCGATGTGCAAAGAGATCTGGGAAAATAAAATTGGGGTACAATTGTTGGATGAGCAATTCTAGGCAATTTCAATGACACAAGGCGACACACCATTATTCAAGCACATTCATCATTTCGTGAAATTAGTGATTAATATAGGCGATTGAAGAATTGGTGAATAACAAGAGTTTATATTGTAGTCATGGGGTTTCGATGGCTAACTTCACACGCTCATGAGGGATAGAGGCATACTTAGTCTACCTATACACATTCGTTACTAGTCTTTGGCTTAAAAGAGGCTCTACAGCCACAAATTGAAAATTCGAGGTATTTCGATCGGAAAACTTGTTCAGTCGAGTTGAGGAAATATCATGAGCACCGTCTTTACTAAAAAGGGCTTGCCAACCAGTTTACATGGTCACATCTACTCAACATCTATGTCTCTGGAGACTGCGAAAGAAAATCCGAATTGACTAAATTTCGAGTTGACATCTCTTCAACTCCAGCAAGAGCTCTCGTAGTGTATCAAGTAGAGCATTGAGTTTTCAGGTTCAGGCCAGATTTGTGTATGATTATATTTTGATGTCATTTGAGGATATTAAGCTTGTGAGTTGAGAAGGTGTGATTCAAATACAGTTGAAAAGGTCATGGATGATTCCGGGTCGTGCCAACACTTGCAGCCAAGTCTCAGTTGAGCAATGCATTTTCCAACAGCTAACTAGGAAGAGTGTATAGACCTGGAAGCTACGTCGAATATAATCAGTCTGCTAATTGAATCGAATGATGGAGAGAAAGTTGGTTCAAATGTCAGTTCTGATACAACACGTTACACCCCGTCCTAGATGCCACAGCCATGCGGCTTGATTAGATGCATGGTCACTTGAACTCAGCTCGACTGATACAGTCAATGACATAAGGTAGGCAGTCGAGTCTTCGGCGAACCAACTAGAGGGGTCTTGCTGTGCTCAAAGACATTTCAACGAGCCTTGTCACGTGCAAATTGATCAATCCCATCACATTACCCATGGCAATGCAAGAATCTATCTAAGTCTTCTGGGTTGACTGGGATTGATAATTCTCTAGTTATTGACTTACTCCTGGTCTCGGACTGCGGCACGTTGTTGTCTGTGTCGCAACGGAGAACTTGACAGCTCGATACAATCTATTCACTTGAGATTGCTTGTATCACGATATCGATATGTAGATTATGCGTAAACTCCAGAGGACTATAAAGCCGCATTGCAAAAGCGTTCATACACAATGAAAACCTGATGAAACGAAAATTGCGATGCAGGTCTGCTACATCGAACTTTCCATCAACGCCCAAAGAAAGCAAGCTTTTGGGGTTTCTGGTGATCCACAATGGCACTCAGTCTCGGCTGGGGAACTTCAGTGCAACATACTCACACGTCGAGCAAAGTCTTTCCAAAGTATGTCAAGCTCGACTTCGCCACCCTGTAAGTTGCTGATAATCTCGACTGGCTCTGCTCATCTACCTCTTCGGATTCACTTTGATCGCATATGCGAAAGAAGGCAGACTGTATATTGTGCACGATAGTATCGCATTGAGGCATGCTTGGCTTTGCCCAGGCCACAACACTCGGCGATTGACTACATTGTCAACCTTATTACCTTACCCGAGGCTGTTATGCGCATCATCCAGTTGACGCGGCAGTGCGGCGCGCTTGCACTTTGCTGGCATCCATCAAACTTTTTATAGCGTCAGTCTCCGTCAAAAGATCAGCCGATTTTGCCGACTCGTAAAAATACCCGATGCCTTCCGACCTGTTCACTTCAACAGACATGTACCCATCGTGGGCCCAGCTTGTCGAGTCTGCGAAGTGGATGTAGATCCAAATCACTGACCCTTGTTTAGCTGAAGTTAGCAACAGATGACGGTGATCCGAATAATACACCTTGCCGAACTTGGCAATACGTAAAGACGATGCCAAAGCGGCTGTGATACATGCATGGGGATAGGGGTCACGGACTTACGTAGCCAGCCCTGGTCGTCAGCGACATACGTACTTGCGGTCGTCGTCCTGACTAGTGCATCTAATAGTTCGGCAAGTCGGCGGAGTGAAGGCGCATCCCCGCAAAGGGACGGATGCCGGGGTGCCGTCCGGGTAGCGGTGGCAGGTTCCGGCGAGCCGGCCGATCGTCTTGTGGGGTGCTCCCGGGATGCAACGTGCGAAAAGGCCCACGGCGGAGCAAATGCGAGGGCCAAGCTTTTTTCCTGCCTAGTCCAAGACGAGCTGCCTTCTTGGGTGAGAATCGCCTTTTCTAGTCACTTGCAGTGGTTGCAGAATATGTTCGTGTCCATTTTTGGGGCAACTGCGGCCGAAAGACGGTTTCGGATCATGCGGCTTCACCCGTTCCGCAAATACTGCCCGCCATGATTAAAGAGTCAGTCACTCGCATTTGGTTTGATGACTATGAAATCCGAGCAATCATTCTTTGGGTATTGTAGACTACCTCTTGCATGCATCATTTCACAACGACGCGCCCACTTCACGACGTCTTCTACAGAAGGTCACTTTGTTATAAATCTTCTATACGAAAGTTGTTACTTTCTACCTATCCGCAGATCAACGGCTTGCCTATCTAAGAACCTTCTGAGAACGGGTTGCAAAGCAAACAACGAAAATTCTGGTAAAGTTGTTCAAAGTTCCGTTAACAGAATACACTACTCTTGATTCAAGGCACCACGATAAGAACTGTAAGGTCGCAAACGTTGCATCATGAAGTGGGCGCTGCCTTCTCATCAGGTTTGAACTCTCCCCGACTGGCACTGCGAATCTGAGGCTCCAAGGGGAACACAGACTTCTCCGGAGTGACGCCCGAGTAAACACGATCCCACCTCTCTCGCAAGGCATCTGGCGTCTTCCATGCATGCTCAGGATCCCGCAGCCATAGCCTGACCAAATGCCGCCTATTGACGTCAGCTTGCGAACATCCATTTCGACCTGGTACACCACTTACTGCTTCTCATCGGAGTCTACGAAGCCTCCACGGGCATGGAATATGCTCAGATTGTTGGCATACTGAATGTCGCCTTGATGAAAGTCCAAGTGAGCGGCATATTTCTCGGCGAGGAAATGTAACGCGTCCAGAGCCTCGGCTTGCGCTTCGGTGATGGGGGGTATGTCAGAGGACCGTGGCAAGCCCCAGTAGCCCGTGAAGCTGCGTCTGGCATATTGAATGATCAAACGCTCGGGTTTACCGTCTGCTGCTGGCTGGTGATGAAGCAAGGGCCTGGTGCTGTATGATCTGCCGTCCTTTCCAAACCTTTGTAAGGGAGTCAGCAGCAAATCAATTCTCCTTCCAGGGCATAGCTTACTCGTCGGCATTCCATGACTCGGCCAAGGTGCGGATCAAATCGGGCCTTGTCCTAGCCAGCTCGTTGTACACGTGCCAACTGCTCGAGAGGTAACTCTGACCACCTTCAGCGGCTTCGCCAAGTGCAAAGAGCGCAATTACATCACCCGAGTCGGTGTGGAAGACTTGCTTATCAGTTGTGTAGGCCGGCGCTCCAATCTTATGGGGGTCGACTATCTTAGTAAGGTCTTTGATGTGTGCCAGAACAACGTCAGCCGGCTCGCCTTGGAACTGGTTGTCTTGTCTGCCGCGGATCGGAGCCACGTGGGAAGAGATTCCGGCGTAGATGATGACGTTTTCTTCGCGGGTATACTCTGTGACTGGAACGCCACGGATAACCTTGATGCCGTGGCCGTTGTGAATCTCGTCCGAGATCTCACGCATAGTTTTGTGAAGGTTTGGGAGGGGAAATGTCTCCTGGCTGATGTCTCCAAGTGGCTTTCCCGTGGCTATGCCTGACATTAGAGAATACACCAAGGTCTTATGTGGCACGCTGATGAGGTGTTTCACGTACACTTGAAGTGCCCGAGAGCATCATCAATTTCCTTCTTATTAGCGTCTGTCAAGACGTAGTTCCAGTCGTAGTGCTCGGCCAAGGTATTCCCATCCCATACCAACTTCGACTCTAGTTTCTGAGGGAAACCTGTAGGTAAGGACTTGTCCAGATTCTCCTGCTCTTGGCGTCGCTTGGTTCTGGCGACAAAGCTCTCATAAATGGGGGCATATCCGATGTCTGGTTGGCCGGGGGGGCCTGCGTAGAATGGAGCTTGAACAGCAGCCGCGGCCATTGTGATGATTTCTTGGACTTGATCTGACACCAGTGGTAAGTTGCTCTTAGCGACAAGAATGACGGGCCACCGGTGTTTATATCGTCCTAAATTGAGTTCGATTGGGTCATCAGACGTCGCCTTGACTCAAACGTTCTGCTGGTGGAGATCATTGGATGACGAATTAAAGCGGGCGTCTCATCCGAGGAGAACTCTTGAAATAAGTTACACTGCTTCGGCAAGAAAGACCAATCACTGCACTTGGATTCGGTAAATCAGCATTGCATTTGTAAGACGCCCTCCTCTTTCCACGGGCGAATTGAGTGAATGCGTCAATCTCAGAATCTCAATGGCTAGCAGGTAGTTCACTTAGTTTGCCCATCTTGCACTGAAAAGGCGTCATGCCGCATCAGTTGTCTTTTTGCGGGGAACCCTGAAATGCGATTCGACGGCGTCATCTTCACTGGAATGTCGCCATCGGAAGTTGGAATCTCGTTCAGAGTCAGACGGACAGTGTCAAACGGATAGGTAATCGAAGCGTCACGGCATATCCTAGGACAATCCGGGTATCATGAGGCTCCGCCAGAACACCTTCCGATGCTCCGACCGGCTATCCTCTCCGCCTCTCCGACTCCGGGGGAACGCGCCCCACGCCGGTGTCACTTCACTCCGGCGAGTTCGGACAAAGCCCCACCTGGGTCTTCAAGTGCGGGTCTAGCTCTGATCACTCCGAGCGTTCCGGTACGTGCGGTAACCATCCCCTGTGAGTAGGGTTTAATATAGTGGCAGCGGTCTATTTCGCCTAAATAACGTGTCGGAATACATTTCCCTCTCCATGAAAGCAAATTGAATGGATCCAGTAACATTAGGCCTAGACTCTAAGCAGTGTAGCTACCGTCACGATAACATGATAAGCAACGGTAGCCTCGGTCAGCTTTCAAGACATTTCTTGGTGTATTACCTCTGCAAAAAGTGAGTAGTTGCCGAGGAGATCAAACCCCTGGTCACTCATTCAACTGCAATTAAGGATAGGAACCTTCCCTCAACAGCGGTGCATTCAAAGCGGGAATCGTCCATGGCATCATTGCTTTCATTGGCCAACTCTTCGCGTTGTGCAAACTAAGACTGCACTGGTTCTCCATTTGAGTCTTGGCCATCGCCGGTGTTCCCATTAACCCCGCATCCCAGCCCCTGCTACTTTGTAGCTCAACCAAACTGGCTGCCGAAAAGATTCAATACGACTGTCTTGGCGGTGCGACTTGCACAAGCATCAAAAAGATAATGATTCACTGGCGTAGAGTGTACCCAAGTAGGAAGGTGCTGACGAGCGGGGAAGATTTAATGATATATATTGAAGCTGTACTCCGTACTCGAAGTGATAAGACGATGACTTCAAGAACAGGAACCCTTTCTTTGGTGACTACTTTCATTCTTCACCTAGTCCTATTACGAAATCTTCGTAATGAGGAACCAACTGTCGTTCATCGCCTTTGCGGCGGCACTCACTCCGCGCTCACTCGCTCAATTTCCACCAGCACCTCAAGGGGTTACGGTGCTGAAGTCGAAATTCGATGAAGGCATTCAGATTAGTTACAAAGAGGCAAGATGGGCAAGCACATGAGCGGGAAAAAAAACTGACGTGACCCATGTATCTAGCCCGGTCTGTGCGAGGAGACTGAAGGTGTGAAATCCTATGCTGGATACATCAAGCTTCCGCCAGGGACCCTCGAAAATGTTGGCCAGGAGCAAGATTTTGAGATCAACACATTCTTCTGGTTCTTCGAGGCCAAGGAGGATCCAGAGAACGCACCACTCTCTATATGGATGAACGGCGGTCCCGGCAGCTCTTCGATGCCTGGACTCTTCAATGAGAATGGACCATGCTACATCAACTCGGACTCAAACTCGACGAGGCCCAGTGAGTGGTCTTGGAACAACAAAGGTGAGGGCACTTTTCCGCAGTTAATTGAAATCTGGGTCATTGCTCACACACTTCTTAGTCAACATGCTGTATATTGATCAGCCAGTTCAAGTGGGCTTCTCATATGACTCACTGCGAAACGTGACCAGGAACCTACTCGGAAGCACCCAGACTCTGAACGCCTCATCCCCAATCCCAGCCCAGAATGCCACTTTCCAGACTGGCACATTGGCAAGCGGTGGAAGGAATACGACGAGCTTTGGAAGTCGCAATGCAGCTATTGCTCTATGGCACTTCTCTCAAGTCTGGTTCCAGGAGTTCCCGGGGTATCACCCCAACGACGATCGCATCAGTATTGCAACTCAGTCCTATGGGGGCCGGTATGGGCCCGCCTTTGCCGCCTACTTTCAGGAACAGAACGAAAAGATCGCGAACGGCACTTGGGATGGGACCGAAGGCGAGAAATACATCTTGAACCTGGACACTCTCCTGATCGTCAACGGGTGCATTGACCGCCAAGTGCAGTGGCCCTCATACCCGGAAATGGCGTTCAACAACACGTATGGCATACAAACGGTCAACGAGACGGTATATCAGAGCATGGTTGATGCGTACTACGCGGAAGGAGGCTGCCGTGACAGGATTGATGCCTGCCGTGAAATCTCTGCAGTCTATGACCCAGATAACATTGGCATCAACGCGACCGTGAACAGTGTCTGCCAAGACGCGGAAACATACTGCACGGAGAATGTTCGCGATCCCTATCTTGATGTCTCGGGCCGCGATTATTACGACGTGACGCAGATCGACCCAACGCTGTTCCCGCTCCCCTTCACAGCCGGATATTTAAATCAGCCCTACGTTCAATCTGCACTCGGTGTTCCCTTAAACTGGACGGGTAGCTCGAGCGCGTCGTCTTCCGCCTTCCGCAGTATCGGAGACTACCCCCGGCCAGGCTGGATAGAAGATATCGCTTACCTCCTTCACAGCGGCATCAAGGTCTCCCTTATGTTCGGCGACCGCGACTTTGCGTGCAACTGGATCGGCGGAGAGCAAGTGGCGCTGGCGATTCCCTGGGCAGACCAAGGGAACTTTGCCAATGCGGGCTACGAGCCTCTGCAGACCAATGCTACTTACGAAGGCGGCCAGGTTCGGCAATATGGCAACTTGTCATTCATCCGAGTTTACCAGGCTGGACACGCCGTGCCGTCGTATCAGCCGGAATCCGCGTATCAAATCTTCAACCGCGCTCTCTTCAACAAGGACATCGCGACAGGCCTTGTTGATACCGCGACGAACCTGACTTATGCCACCGAGGGGCCTTCCGATACATTTGGTGTCAAGAACGAGATTCCGCCTCAGTACGAAGATTTCTGTTATGTTCTCGATCCGAGCACCTGCAGCGACCAGCAGGTTGAAGCTCTGCGGAACGGAACGGGCATCATCAAAAATTACATCATGATTGAACCGGCTTCGCAGCAGGGAGTTGCAATTGGATTGAAAGCAAGGGACATGTGAGTTGAAACTTTGGATGTTAGTTGGAGGACCGATGCTGACCATTTGAAATTTTATAGTCTCGATGAAGCCTAGAGCACAACTGGTGGCGAAGTCATTGAAATCGACACAACGCTGCTCAATCATGATGCACAGAAAAAGATAGCTCATTTTCTGTATCACTAGACTTTTGTGATAATATATGTTGATTAAGGGAAATCTCAATGCTACTTACCGCGGTTAAACCGATGGTGACCGGAAGATTCTCAGCAGCCGCAATACAAAGCGGGTAAGCCATAACAAAAAAAAAGGTTTACCAATTTCCTACAGAAAGTCATTTTGCCAACCTTCGGTGACATTGAAGAAAACCCTCAGAATCATTTCCGTTGATTTTTCTCGGGTATTGTGCTGGTCTGCTGCTAGGACATCTTCAACACACTGTGTAAGTGAGACAAATCCGCTTATGTAATCTCAACAAGTCATTTCCAAACATGATTGCGCGAGTTCTCCATTCGCCTCAACTTGTCTCTCTTGCCAGCGCATGCAATCTGACCTCTCACGCAGCTAAAGGACCACAACCGTATGCGCAGTTGCTAATATTTGGAGGGTTGATCTTGAACGCAGAGCATGTCAGCGCGTTTGTCGCAGCGCCAATCCCTCGCGTGTCGCGGTTCGTGTTCTATCCCCAGCCAGAAAGACGCTTGGCCTATCCGTACAGTCCTGACACAGTGCCACCGCCCATAGAGTGTACTAGGAAGAAGAGAAAGTGCAACAAAGAGATCCCATGCGCAAGATGTAGTCGTCTAGGGCTCCATTGCGACCGCGAAGTCGTCCATCTGAGGCGCAATGCTGTTCGACATAGTGCCGAGATTGGGTTTCTCGAGACTCTGCGCAACATGCTTCAGAGCACCGATCCCGCTTCGGCGAGGAGAGCAGCTGATTTGGTGGCAGCTAGACTGGAGGGTCTCCGTTCTGGTTCGGGGCAACGCACCGAGATCACACAGACAGCGAATTTTGTTGAGTCCGGGATCGGACTTGAAGATGACTCGGGACAAGACGAAGCCACAGGTTCACATCCCAAAGCTCGCAGTTCGCTCACGGTGACTGCGTTGGAGCACATGGCATGGGGTAGAAGCTATGGAAACTGCTACCCTCATCTACACTGCAACTGCCATCAAAGACGAGATCATACCATCGAAGCCTCGACAACAGGTCTGTCGCCGTCTCTCGGCCTATCTGATCACACTGTCCCACCTCTTGCCCTCCTCCCTGAGAGAGTCACGGCCGAGATACTCATCTCATTTCACCTGGAGCACATAGCATGGCACCACAACTCCTTACACTGCCCGACGTTTCTGCAGCAGTGCACCACGTTCTGGGCGACCGGCGTATACGACCAGCCACAGTGGCTTGCGCTGTATAGCGCGGTGCTCTCCTCGTCGCTCCTGAGTTGGCAGAACAGCTGGAAACATCGCGATGCATACCCGCTCACGCTACCGGCCTGTTCGCCTCAAGACTTATTCAACTTCATGGTCGACACTTTATATAAGGCTCATTTCCTGCAGCATGTTTCAATCTACTCCATCCAGGCCATCGTCATCTCAACCGAAGTAGCTCACAATCTTGGTCTCAGTCAACTCAACGCTACCTTATTCAGCGCTGCGATTCGAATTGCCGAGTGCTTGGGAATACACAAGATCACCAAATGCGGCCTCGACTTGCAAACCAGGGATGAAATATGGGATGATACTCTGCAAAGAGAAGTAGGTCGTAGGGTTTGGCTCCAGATGGTCATTCAAGATCACTTTGCAATTCCATTTACCGACTCATACGGCATCAACCCGTCTCACTATTCCACTTCTTTCCCCAGAAACGCCAACGATGCAGACTTGATAGACACCTCGGAGGACGTTCTGACGGTAAGTACGTATACTCGTGTCCTGGGTGGCATCGCGCAGCTGATGCCGGAGCTCGCGGACGGGATGGGACCTTTGAGAGCCCAGAAGCCTGCAAGAGAGCAGTATGCCCATGTTCTCAGGATGGACCAAAAGATGAGGGAGAAGGTCCAGTCAATACCGCGTTTTCTTCTACAGAAGGATGAGCTATTAGAGGGCCAGTGTGCCTGGCTTGGGGTTGCGCGTCAGAGTCTAGCCATTACCGCCGCTGAAAAGGTTTGACCACACCCTAGCGAACCCTCATACATATCACGGTGATGCTAATCAATCCTGCTAGATTGTCATGATCCACCGGCCATTCCTCTTCCTCTCGTTCCAATCTGACTCGTACATCCACACGCGCCGTACCTGCGTTGCAGCAGCAGTCACCATCCTACGCGAGCACAAAAGCATTGTAGAATCAGGCGAAGTCTCGCTCTGGACGCACATCGCCTTCAGCATCACCGCTGCCATCATTCTCTCGTTCGAGGTCATATGCGATCAGAGCAAAGAACGAGACAGCCGACAAGAAGGCTACCTCGACGCGATTCGCGACGCGCGAGAGCATCTCCTGGGCCGGACGACGAGTGATATCCTAGCACACCGCGGTGTGGTGCTTATTGATGCCATCTTTTCTGAGGTGGGAGGCATAGAGTCGTTTTCTGATCAGACACTCGCTGCTAGGCCTGATGCTATTAACTTTGAGGAGATTGCGGCTAGGTTCAAGACCGATTGGTTTATCCTTGATTCTTCCACGGCTGGTCTCGGGCAGTTTGACGTTGCGGAAGAGCATTTTGCCATGTCTGGCAATCCCTCTGAAGATTTCGACGATTGGTTCCAACAGATATTTCACTCGACCATAGTTGGATAAAGTCCGGTTCTCATTGAAAGAAATTGATATTTCTGCATGATTGAGCGGCAGTTCTCTACCCACACTCGGGACCACCCACCGATGGTATCTTTGCTGGTCAACTACAAGCTACTGCTGAGTGCTACAGATTATCTTGTCATGTCTATGCGCATCGGGCGTTTGGAGTGGCGTTGGTCCCACTCCCTTTTCTTGCAGGAGTTGATATGAACTCGACTGCATCATGTGAGGCTAGGCGGCGACTTTGAGTGCATTGCGTGTCCAGCAATTGTTCATAACAGGGCACCGTCAGCTTATCGGATTCGAACTCGACAGGCGATGTACCGAGGCTCCTTTCGGATCCGGAAGCTTCCAGTCACATGACTTTTGTGCGAAAAGTAATCACATGATCTCGCGTACTCGGCGTGTGACACCCAAGGTCCGTGCTTGTCGTCATAGAGGTTCTCCCCCGCCGTCGTCCCTCGGGGGCGGAAGTTAAGGCGAGGGGCGGCCAGGAGCAGCTCTTGCCACTGCGCTCAGTAAGGTTCTTGTCAATCAAGGTGGTAACCATCAACGTTTGCGAAGCTTCACATTACTTCAGATTTCTCCCAGTATTCTTCACCTTCGACCTAGCTTCTTGAAAACCAGAATTTCGCCTGCGAGCGACTCCCAACCCCCGTTCACTGAGAAGTGCCCCTCATCAACGCCCATTGTATGCACGCTTTCGCCACGCTGATCGATTTCAATGGCGGGACCCCGCTCCTCGACGTCGACGGCTGCGACCCGCTCCGTAACCAACCATTCTAAGACTGCCGGAAGCTCCCCACCGAAGTCGGCAACAGCGACGCCCTCGCCGGCGCGCAAACGAAAGGCTGATACCTCTGATGATGCATCATTATCACCCCCATCGTCTCGCAAGGTAAAGAAGCTTAAGACGGTCGGCACGAGTACCGGCGAGAAGCGATTGCGCCGATACCGATCGAAACCACCTCAAAGCTTCCACGAAGTTTACCATCGAGCAACAACACAGCGCTTCTACGTTCTCGAGCGGCGGCGATGCGGAACTCCGGATGCGCCCGAGGAGGAGATTGAGTTGACTGGTTCTACTGGCAATGTATACACCGTCAAGATCGGCCAGACCCCGTCATGTAGTTGCCCGCACGCCATGAAGGGAAATCAATGCAAACACTGGCTTTATGTGCGTTCTTACTCAGACGTATTCGGTCCCTGCTGGATATTCTAACCATGGCTAGGTCATGTCTCGAGTCCTCCGCGCCAAATTCGAATACACATACCAATTGGCGTTGGTCCCCAGCGAACTTAATGAGATCTTCGACAAGGCCCCGCCCATCGATCCCCAAGCCGACGATTCCAAGAACAAGAATCGCAAGCCCATCGACGGAGACTGCCCCATCTGCTTCTGCGAGCTCGAATTTGATAACAACGAGACGATTGTATGGTGTCGCGCAGCTTGCGGCCAAAACATACACAGGGAATGCTTCGAGACTTGGGCTGGGACAAAACGTCGCGGCAGCTATGGCTCAAGTGATGTGACTTGTCCATATTGCCGTAGTCTATGGCAGGGCGATGATGATATGATGAAGAAAATCAAGAAAGGCGGCAAGATCACTCGTGAGGGATATGTCAATGTCGCTGAGCAGCTCGGTATCAGTACACAAAGAGGTATGGTTCTACGTTAGGCGCGCACTGCTCTTTTAGGTTGCTAACCCATGATCACAGACTATAGTACCTATTCTAGATGGTGGAGAGGAAGTTACTAATATGGTTTCGCATACATCCTATTTGCAACCGTCACACGAAATGACAGAGTGACGGAGACGTTGTCATATTGATGTGTGGCGCCTCATCTAGCCATGGCCACCCTTAGAGGCCCCGCTTTCACGTGCACCGTCTGGCCATCTATTCCATTCGTCGTTTTGTGAGGGGGGTTGCAATCATGGACACTTTGCAAGCTCCTTTCAAACACTCACAGGATGCATGAGACGGAAGACTGCCCCATGAGTCTCTTTGCCATAGAGTCATCTTCCCCAAAGTCTTATCCATGCAAAGTTGAATAGGTATAGCGCCTTCCTCGTCATGAGTAGAACACAATGTTTCTTAACAGCCTTAAGCTAGAGCACCGCTAACCTTTCACATAGCACGCTTGTCCGACGTCCAGCACCTAGACTCGGCGGTCAGGTACGATGCATCATTGACCTTGTTTCAATCCGATCAAGCTCAACCTGCCTCGCTCGCGTTCACTTCCGAATATCTTATCCTGAGCTGGCGCCTTCTCTTGACCTTGTGCCAGAAGTAGCCGCGGTTCATGATCCAGTTGACGGAAAACACATCTACCATGGACCTAAGAGCTACGTCAGCTGTCAACACGGCCATGCTCTTTGCAGCTCCGACTGCGAATGTGTGGCGAAGGCGATGATGTATGTTCGGAACTGAGGAGCCTGAGTTTGGCGCGCAACTTGAAATTGACAACCGAAATTCAGCTCGGGATTGATTCTGATCATTTGAAGTGGGCATGATATGAAGGATGACAGGAGCGCCCCCGTCATTCACTCAAGTAAATCAGACTTCGTGCGTGGACTTTGGTGGCTTTGGGATGCTATACCAAGACCTTGGCAAGTGAAATCATGAATTCATGCCTGGTGACAGAGAAAGAGTTGGGTCGATAACTACCCAACACCGACGGCTTATGTCGCGAGCTAAACGAAATAGCACAGAGGGGAGCGTTCTCGATAACAAACAAATGCCCACGAATGTTGCCACTCTATCCAAAGACGTGAGATGCGCCCTATCTTGAATCAATGGTGCCAGACTCATAGGCGACAGATACGTAGTCTTCTTCCCGCCATAGTCATATTCTTAATGCGACGAGTGTGTTGCCTCCATTTGCTGCTATCGACTAGGCCGCTTACAATGGGGTAATCAAGGTGCTGTTCACTGCTAGTTACTATTGCATACTACAGATTCGATTGGATCTCCAGGTAATTCAAGCACTTAGATGGCTTGATTCAGGTATATTTTACGAATCTTCGGGTAATGCGTGCAAGCGAATTTGGGTACAAGCACGTATTTTTTTGTGCGTTTACTTTCTTACACTACACACATTCTCATTGCTTCTCTCGCTCAGCCTTCAGTTTCTGGTCCTCTTCCTCCGTCTTGGGAACCTTGACAAACGCCGGTACAGTAACGGCATTGAGCTTGCGCAAAGCCTGCAAAAGTCAGCGGACGTCACCTCACGGTACAATACCGCCTACCCAAAAGGGCCGCCACAACGAGACGCGGCAAAAGACGGCAAAGCTTGCCTGGCCAAGGAGCCCCAGCAGGGTCTTGGCGGCACTGGAAACAGAGACATTGAAAGCGTTGCGTACCTGGGAGAATGCTCCCTCGGGAAGATCATTGTTCCACTTGTCGTTGACCTTGACGATCTTGCCATCGTCGCCGACCTGAATCTGCACGACACTCTCCATGGTCTGCTCGGTCTTGATTCCCTTGACCGTGTAGCTGTTCTTCAGCTCCAGCTCGATGGGGTTACCCGCCGACGTGACGGTGTGCGACTGGATCCTAATGGGGTTAAACAGCGCCGGAAGACCGTACCACTGGGCGGCGAACTTGTCGTACCCCTCTGCGACTGTGATGTTGTCCTGGAACGTAGCCGTCTTGGACCACAAGGATAGGTGCTTCAGGGTAGGATTCCCCTCAAAGAGCTTTGGAGGATGGTTAGCCGTAGGTTCCGAAATTACTCACGTAGGGCAAGGGTAATGCATACATCTAGCACGCTGCCGACCAGGACTTTCTGCTGCTGGGACAGTGATACCCCGGACTTTTGGACAATTTCGCTGTTCTTAATGCCGACGGACTCAAACGTGGGCGCGCTGGCATCAGCGGTAGCCTGGACCTTTGCCGTTTCGGAGGGAGTGCCGGACGCCATGTTTCTTTGAATAGACTTTGCAAAGGACTTGGTCTCGGGGTGGGTTGCAATCCGCTTCGCAATGTGACGGGCTGTTGAGTGCATGGAGATGGCAGAAGAGGTTTTGGTATGGACGAGAGAGGATGTGAGATGTGTGAGAGGACTTTTGAGGTTTTGTGAGGTTTCACTAGCTCTGGGTTGAACCTGTTGGTTGTCAAAGACACGTCCGGCGCATATTCGTCGCGTCACTGGGCTGACGTGACGAAGGGATGATGATGAGCGCTGACGTCATGACTCGGATCCGGGGGCGATGCTCCGCGACTTCGCTTCTGAGATGGCAGTCTCAATCGGGGATGGTTATTGCCCGAAACGAGATGTGTCGGCCTCCTTGGAGCTTCGCCTTCCGCATCCGCGCCGACCATTCTGTCTCCGAATCCCGGATGCACTGCCGGCGTCGAGGTCCACTTTATTTCCGGCAGTTTTCCGGCGCCATCCGGTTCCTCCGTAGCATTCCTTTGGGAACCGCGCCATCATTCGGGTTATCGCTATTGAAATACTCACTGTCAACCAAGCATTCAAATACAGGAATTCACCAAATTGGAACGATAAGTCAAGTGTTCGTAGTACGTCAAATTATTAAGGCCCGTTGCGCGGCGAGTGTCGTAATATGTCCGTCTCTAGAAGAGCTATGTACAGTTAAGAATATGTGTGTGAAGAAAATGCCAATGGGTATCCACAATCCTCTCATCCCTCATTATCCAATTCGCGCCGCGACACACCGGGCGAGGATGTCGAAGAAGCCCTGCGCCAAACCCCGTCATGTAGTAATTGCTGTTGTCATGCATCACCGCAGGTGATGATGATTCGCCGGTCCGCCTTCGTCGTGAGATGCAAGCCACTTAGCGGAACTCACCCTGGCCATGGCAGCGGGTAAGAGGGATCCAGCTCTGCTTCTTGCTGCAGACGGTGATGGCGCCGGAGACCCAGCTGACGCCCTCGTAGGAGCCCTCGTCGTGGGTGTCAGCCATCCAAGTACCGGTCTGGCGCAGGGAGCCGATGCAGCCCTGGAAGAAGCGGCCGTAGCGGCGGGTGGTCCAGG